TCTCTCGTGGTAAGCGAACCGCAGATTCAGTTTCGTTACGCAAACTGTATACTCGTTTTCAGTTTACCAATTTGAAACATCTCCGATATGTGGGCTTCCGTGTGTGGGCTTCTCGCTGCGAAAATAGAACCACAAACCCTTTTTGGGGACTTGTCACCCCAATGCCGGCCTATCGCAACCAGGTCCAGACGCCATTCAACACCAGACGAACTATTCATACAATCCGAAGTCCGGAAATTACTAGATGCAGGAATCGTCGAACCGTCGAGGTCTCCTTAGCGGGCCCAGGTTTTAGTAACCTCTAATGAAAGACATAAGAAACGTATGGTCGTGGATTACGGTCAAATCATAAATCGATTCACATACCTCAATGCGTGTCCATTTCCCCGCATGGACCACTTCATTGAACAGATTGCGCGTTTTGATGTATTCAGTACCCTAGACTTGAAAAGTGCCTACCACCAAATACCCATCCAAACAAGAAAAGAAATACACCGCCTTTGAGGCCTTTGAGGCATCCCATTCGGAGTGACCAATGGCGTAGCATGTTTCCAGCGAACTCTGGATAACATAATCAACAAGGAACAACTATCCGGTACTTACGCCTACGTGGACAACGTAATAATCTGCGGTATGGATGTGACAGAACACAATCGAAATCTACAGAGATTTTTGGATGTGGCCAAGAGATACGGTCTCAGGTTTAACGAAGCTAAGAGTATCACGTCTGTAAGACAAATAAACATTTTGGGTTTTGAAGTTTCAAAGGGAGCTTTTAGACCCGATCCTGAAAGACTCAAACCCTTAAGGGACCTGCCGCCACCTCGAAATGTGAAAGAACAGGAGCGCGCATTAGGAATGTTCGCATATTACTCACAATGGATATCACACTTCTCAGACAAAATCAACCCACTGATCCAAAACCGATCAGTCCCACTCTCTGAGCCCCTCACACGATGCTTTGAAAAGTTAAAACAAGAACTTGAAAGCGCGATGATAGTCACTGTGGAGCCCGGAACGCCTCTCGTTGTCGAGACATGCCTCAGATGTTGCCATCGCTGCCACCCTCAACCAAAGTGGTAGACCCCGGGGCGTTTTTCTCTAAAACACTAACATTAACCGAAAGGCATCATTCCGCGGTCGAAAAAGAAGCTTACGCCATAGTGGAAGCATTGAGAAAATGAAGACACTATCTACTTGGAAACCATTTCAAGCTGATCGCTGATCAACGACCCGTTGCATTCATGTTCGACAATGAGCCAAAGGGCAAGATAAAAAACGAAAAAAACTCAGCGCTGGAGAGTTAAACTATCATGCTTCCGGTACGTTGTTATCTACCGACCAGGACGTGACCATTTAGCCGCCGACGCGTTTTCACGCGGTTATTGTACAGCCGCTATAGATCCCAACTTGCTAAAGGATTTACACGAAGCACTCTGTCATCCGGGGATAACTCGTATGTATCACATCCTCCGTTCTCGGAACTTACCGTGTTCCGTGGATGAAGTTCGACGCTTAATTTTCCAGTGCCAAGTATGTGTGGAGATTAAACCCAGGCTCTACAAACCAGGGAACAAACCATTAATCAAGGCAACTCAACCGTTCGAAAGATTAAGTATAGATTTCAAGGGTCCACTGCCATCCTGCACACATAATAAATATCTCTTGACGATCATCGACGAATACTCACGACTTTCTTTCGCATTCGCCTGTCAAGACATGTCCTCTATAACAGTAATCAAGTGTTTCTGTCAACTCTTCTCCATCTTTGGAATGCCGAACTATCCATTCAGACCGCGGCTCCTCTTTCATGTCAGAAGAACTCAAGTACTTCTTACACTCTAAGGGCGTCGCAACCAGCCGATCTACGGCCTACAGTCCGCAGGCCAATGGTCAAGTGGAACGCCTGAACGGATCGTTGTGGCAAGCAATAATGTTAGCCTTAAAGTCCAGAAATTTGAACGTTCGTCACTGGGAGCAGGTTCTTTTATAGACGCTATTCATTCCATGCGGTCTTTGTTGCCCACGGCAACTAATGAGACCCCTCATGAACGAATGTTTCGACATAACAGGAAGGCAGTATCAGGAACATCATTACCCAGCTGGCTCGTACAATCCAATCGAATGTTATATAGACGACACAATCGTCAATTAAAGTATGACCCTTTGGTCGATGAAGTACAACTGGTTGAATGTAACCCGAACTATGCCCGCGTAATTCTTCCTCGGGAGGCAAGCAGAGACAGTATCTGTTCGTCACCTTTCTCCCTTGCCAAATAACGAATCCAACGACACAATCCCTACCACTCCACAATCTCAAGCCACACTCGACCAACAATTACCCACAGAAACAGTGATTCCCTCGCTAGAATATAACCGCTCACAAATACACGATCCAGAAATCAATTGTGATAACTCAGATATTCAACACAACTCAAATAGCACACCAGGCTCTGTTGAGACTTTGCAGCAACTACAGCAGCGAGTGCGTCCATACTCGTTGAGAAATAGAGAGCCTAGTTTTGTGCACATCCACATGGCATTCCCTCACATCCGGTAGCTACTGAACTTTTACACTCAAATATATACACATATAGCAACCCCGAAACACAATCCACTGTTCTACCAGCCGTAAATATTTCTCACACTACACGCTATCACTGTCATTCAGTTGGTGAGAGTGAATGTCATGTATCGAAACTCTACATTATTTCACAATTCTCGTATTATTCGTTGTATGTGTATGCACTCATATCCACCATCTTTCCTAGTGTAGTAATATCCTCTTATTCAGTTGATTAAAGCCTACGATACGGCCTACCTCTTCTGTTGTGCTCAGAGCATCTACTTGATTGATTTACTACAATCAGTTTGTTTGTTAAAGGTTCAGTATGTACCTTAGCGCGCCGACATTCACCGCTATCCGGTACAAAGAGATGAACCTTGGGAAAGTAAAAATAAGTACTGATAATGTCACCTAAGCTGATGATAAAACGTTTGCAAACAAATTGCCAAGCTCGGAAAACAGGGGAAATGGAATACAGTTTACCGGTGTTCGAACATCGCCGATCAAACAGCATAAATGCATTTTTCTGGGGCAACTGGACGAGTGATGTAGAGGTCTATCTAAAGGTAATAAATAATCTCATCCGCGCACTTAGCTGCTCACTTATCATATCTCGCGATGACTGAAAGGTGTTGCGCACATTGTCGATGAGGAACATTCACTGATGCAGAAACAGGTCAAGAGGAGATAAAATATCCAGATCGTGATATGTATCTAGGCTTTATTTCCCGGTCGATAAAATGCCTTATATCTCGTTCACCACTTTGATTCTCGGGGCTTGGGTTTCTGGTTATCATGATTGAATATTAGGTCTTCAAGATCGTGAGAGCTTCCCCCTGCATTGTTCGTCCCATGAGGGTGCGTACTAAAGAACTAACCCCTGAGCGGTCCACTGCCGAGGTAAGTCGGTCGTGGCGGTAATGAGGTTAGTGCCTCGAAACCTAAGAACAATTGCTTAAACCGTCAACAAATTCGGTTTTCCAGACCCTCTAGTCTTAAACTGTCGCGCGATAGATTCGGTTACTGTCCCTTTGTTACCCTTTCGGTCGATCATTGAAGAAAGGACAAATGAGAAAAGTGTAAAGCTAAATGCACTATCAAAGTAAAGGTACGGAAAGCGGGAAAAGTAAATTTGCGTAGGAAACGAGTGGATGCACAGTGCCACTGTTTATGATACGAATTGGCTTCAAGAATTGTGTCGCTCTGTCTTGTTTCACTACTTGTCTTAGTTAGGGCATACTCTGTAGAGGTCTAAGGATACGCTCGGAGCGTGACTTAAACATGTGCATGTTTTTTTTTTCATTTTTTATCTCACACTTGTGTCCTGAACAGCAGACGGAGTGAACTGCATAATCACGAAGACCAATACCTAGCTACTGTGCTAGTGCAACCATGTTTGGTATGCGTTTTGCGCCATAGAAGTGTAAAATATTGCCGCAGAATTGGATTGGTTTAGCTCCTAGGCTCACTCTTACAGGGAAAGTACTAGAGCAAGTGGACAAGTTTTGTTATTTGGACAGCTATATCTCACCCGATGGACGCATCACGGATGAAGTGTCATCTTGCACACAAAATGCTCGATTGGCATTTGCCACTTTGAGACATCTGTGGCACCGCCGCGATGTCCAGCTGCCTGTGAAGGCTCGAATGCATACTTCGGCGGTTCGATATTATTCTGAATCGCTACTGCTAATACAATCGGCTGAAATTCCCTGTGGAAATAAATGTGTTTGAGGAGTGAGGGTGAATAAGTAAACAAGATGAAGATAGACCATCGGTGTTTGAACATCGCTGTCTACGCCGCATTGCACGAGTATGTTGGGGAAACCGGATGAGAAATCCTGAGGTTAGGTGTATAGAGCCCTCCATAAATTACGTTGATTGGGGCGTGTTACTCATGTCATCAATAGATTGCCACAGTGCGCGGTGTTTTACGAGTCAGGTAGTGGGTCTAAAGGGCCAAGGGTGGTAAAAAAAAGACCTGGTTTTAGGATATAAAAGCCCTCGCCAAGAGACTAGGTCACATAGGTCCCGGTAGGCTCCCTGGATGAAAACCTCTGGATCGTTTTAATTAGTGGTTAGAGGCACTGAGTGATATACTGATTGTCGTAAAGATATACGCCCGTGCATCGTTTCAGTTTCGTTACAACCTCAGTCTACTGAAATTCTCCATTTTCTCTTCGACTCTGCTTTTAGCTTTCCACTCTTCTACTCCTTCATCCAAATAGGTAACCCAAACGAGCGCACAAAATTGCATGGCTAATAGTTGTACAAACTGAAACTGGAAAACTAAACATAAGCCCCGGAACTTGTGGTGGCAAACCACATCAAGCGTCGCTAGGTCAGACGTGGTATTGAACCGAACAACATTAAAGCTACCTACCACCTAAGTTGTGTGGCGGTGGCGGGCTCAAACCTTGAATCATAAGGTCCAATGCATGCCGGTGACAGCTACTAAACCGCTACGCCACCACCACCACAGCGCTTATTGTATGCCAGGTTTAACATGTTTATAGAAAATTGGACTATGCACAAAGAATGGCGCGTGAGCACTTCATCCGGAATTCACTTGCCAAGTGTTTAAGGACTCGCTTTATTTGTTTCCTTGTAATGAGAACTCTTCATCATCCACTGATATCGTCATTAATATTCCTATTCACTTAATTACTCCACAATTCTAGCTCCCCCTCCGTACAGTCCACCGGAGGGACCAATACCATCCGCACCGTATGCATATACCGCTCCCACCTCTGTTGCTCCACCGTACCCGGGTAGTCACGCCCCCTATCCGGTGGCTGGTGCCACACCGGGTCAAGCTCCGCAAATCGGTTTTGTCATTCCGACTTCAGCCGCCCCGACTTACACGTCTTACAATGTCCCACCAAGTAAGTTGTTTTTGGATTCTTCCTGAATCAGTTTTATTCATGCACCGAAGTGGTTGGAAAATAGAACACGTACCACATCTTTTTTTCGAAGATACAGTGTGATGCCCTGACCTTAATTTTATTCGTTCTCCTTTCTGTTCTGGTATATATCTAGTCTTGTTTATGTGGATGAGTGAAATCGGCCGATAATTGGTCGAATAGGTGTGTCATAAATTTTTGTGCGCTTTTGCCCGATCGAACGTTCGGACTATTTCTTAAGGCAACATCTGTGCTACAACTTCCTATTCAGAGATAGCAGTGTACAATCCGCTGGAAACATGCGAAATATTTGACTCCCATTTTACTACTAGTTCCCATTCATCCATCCACACCCCTACACGCACTCCATAACCGATCGCCTTATCACACAATTTCATCACGGAAGAATGTTAAATCTTGTTATCACCAGGCACGAGGTGCACATGTCGCTGGGATCCAACGAAATTGCCCCATTCTATGTCGCTTGTTCTCTCTCTCTATTCGCCAAGTTCGGGGTATTCCAAGCTTCCTTGAAAATAATTGATATGTATATCACTTATATATATATATATAATATACATATCATAATAAGTAATGTGTGAATGACTAGACAATATTTCCCTGGAAGCATACGACCGGTTTCACAGTTCTTGTCGCTCGTCAGGCATGCGTATCCGGTAATCGTTCGTCAGTTC